CAGGGCTCGGGTCTCCCAGGTTGTCCGCAGTGTTTTCCTTCTTCCAGCCTGCGGTCTGTCTTTGCCCCCGTGCTGTTCAGACGTTTGCAGCTTTTGCTGCTGTGTTGGTGACGTCTCGGACTCATTTCGGGCGCAGGGATTTGTGGGTCGCACAGGTTTTTGGCCGCCCATCCATATGTGCGTCTGTTCTTGGGCGTTCTTGTTACCTTGGGTCGCAGGTTTGCGACCGGTTGTCTTGGCTTTGCGTTGCAGAATTTGTGGCAGCCGCCTCCCGGGTTAGCCCTTTCTTTTCCTTCTCTTTGGGTATGAAGCTCCAGGGAGCCGTAGGGGCTCCCCACAGAAAACCAGCGTTGAATGTAATGAAACGCCATTTTCTGGGTGAGCCCCGGAGGCTCCCTGGAAACCCTCCCTCCCACCGGTCGGCTGTTTTTTCGCGTTGGTTGAAGCTTAGCTTCCGAACTGGAGCTTGGCAGCCGGCGCGGTAGGTCCGGGGCTCCCCCCTTCCCCTCCCGGGGTGGGGAGGGCTGCGCGGACGATCGGTGCAGCAGTAAAGTGTGATGTTTGCTTGTTTGCTAGTTTCCTTGGGATTGTAGGGAGTTTTCTACCTCTCTGTTCGGTTTTTGTTGTAGTTTCTTTCCATGTGGGGTTTGTTTTGTTACGCCTACCTTTCTGGGTGCCTAACCCCGGTCGATGGCAGATAAGGAAAACCCCCAACCATATGGGGTTTTCCAGGGCCATTGCTCCCTGAAACCTCTCTGAAGGGGCCAGGTTCTGGCGCTGGTCCCTGGTAGGTCTGAACTCCTTAGCTAATGTCCCGGTCTAACATAACATACATTAGCCCGATAAGCTCCAGGGAGCCTCCGGGGCTCACCCAGAAAATGGCGTTTCATTACATTCAACGCTGGTTTTTTGGTCTATGGTCATTCTCACAGTTGTTCTCAACTTTACCACTAACCTTCTTGGGACCAATGGCATGAAATATAATAATTACTTTTATGTTCTAAAACTAAAAGGCCCCAAAACAATGAAATTCTTCAAGGAATTCAAGTGAGGTCGTCACCTCAGCAGGATGCTGGTAAACTGAGGCGCGCCTCGCCGCGATGCCACACGCATGGTGGACCTGGACATGTATAAACAAATTCCGAACACCAAGGCAAACAACGAGTACCGAATCAAATTTTTCAAAGAAATTGACTACGAGTACCGAAAATTGCGAGAACCGGGACTTACGAGAACTGAGGTTCCACTGTATACATATGAACACATTGTACTGAACGGGGTGAGAATAGCTTGAGCTACCTCATCCCTTTGTGTGTATTTATACCTCAATAAACTTATTTCAATTGACACCACCTGCTTCCTGTGACAACCACTGACATCACCTGCCTCCCATTGACAACCACTGACACGACCTGCCCTATGCAGTAAATATTCGTTAAACTATAGTATATTTATGAGATTCTGTAGTTTTTCATTCCGTGCAGTGGAGCAGGGGAAGTGGTGCTGAATTACACCTCTTAAATTTTTGGGGGTCAACTTATGCGCTGGATAGACTTGTATGCCAGCATACATGGTACTCTGACACTGAAAAAGTTCTTTCTAATGCCTTTGTGGCTCATTTGGGTACTCAGTTTCCACCTGTGTACCCTTGTGTGAATACCACCCTTGTTAAACAATCTGTGTTTATCTACTCTGTCAATTACCCTAAGAATTTTGTAGATGGTGATCATGTCTCTGCAAACTCTAGTAGCATTCCTTTGAACCTTCTCCAGCTTCATCTTATGCTTGACATGGTATGGACTCTATGCTGGAAACCACATAATCTAGGATTGGTCTTACATCCTAGAATATGTAAGTCAGCCATCTTCTTCTTGAGGTTATCTTGAGATGATTTTGGGGCTTTTTAGTGTCCCCGCGGCCCGGTCCTCGACCAGGCCTCCACCCCCAGGAAGCAGCCCGTGACAGCTGACTAACACCCAGGTACCTATTTTACTGCTAGGTAACAGGGGCATAAGGTGAAAGAAACTCTACCCATTGTTTCTCGCCGGCGCCTGGGATCGAAACCAGGACCACAGGATCACAAGTCCAGCGTGCTGTCCGCTCGGCCGACCGGCTCCCTATAGTCGACTCGGCCGCTCGGCCGACCGGCTCCCTATAGTCGACTCGGCCGCTCGGCCGACCGGCCATAGTCGACTCTGCTATATTTCTGGCAGGTTTTCCACTCCCTCATCTGTTGTTGATTTCTTTGCTGTAGTGTTAGGTGGCTTGGCATGTTTTCTGCCTTCTTTTGTCCCATCTCTATCTGGTGTCCGCTTTGTCGGTTTTGCCTTTTGCTATCCTGGTTTTAGGTTGACTGTCTGCTCTTGTTATTTGGGTGATGTCTCAGTTTCTCTCTTCTTGGCCTCATTGATGTGGTTTAGGTTACACACCCTTTTCTCCCCTTTCTGTGCCTCTTCAATTTTAGGTATCATTTTGTGCTGTCTTCTTTTGTCGTGGGATTTTGTTTTTTCCACATACAGTCGTCCTGGTGATCACTGGTCTGTGGGTGTCTGGAGAGTGCTCTTGGAGGTTGGCCGGGGGTTCCTCTGGCACTCTTCCCAATGGGGACATTTGAGTTCAGATGTTCAGGTGAGTACCTCGTTTATTGTTCCCATCTCTCTGGTTTCTTGTTTCAATGCCTGGCTTGCTTGCTGGGTTTTTGCATTCACCACCTTACTTTTTGCAGGACAGATCCATTCACTGCTTTCAGTATTGTTCACCTTTTTAGCTTAGCTTAGGCAGTTGTTCTAGTTTTGTCTCTTCTGGCTCTTCTGTTCCCTCCTCCAGAGTCAGCCCTTGTGTTCCTTTCCCCCTCTCTGTAAGGCAAGTAAGGCATGTAAGGCATAGCTCAAGGACGTGCAGAAGGGAACACCCTCCCAGAAAACCAGCATTAGATACAGTACTGTATAATGAAATGTCTCTTAGGTTGGTTCATTCTTTATTTCCGAATTTATGTTATTTTCCATGGTGTTCGGGGGAGTCTTACTTGGGCAATGCTTGAACGACTGGGGCAGGTTCATGGTACTATTGGTTAACTGGGGGTGCTGTCTGGCAACTACCTAAGTACATTAATTAGCCGAGTGTAATTGCCTAATCATAGTTACACGATGAGAACTACCCTCATGGTGCCCTGTCTTCCCACTAATCTTTGTCACATGGCTTTTTGAAACTAATGATGGCTTTGGCCTCCACAACCTTCTCACCTAAATTATTCCAACTTTCTACAAATCTTTTCCCACAACTTGATAATGGTCCAGGACGAACCGAAACGTTGTTGCCTCCTTATCTTCTGGTGTGTAGTTTAGTCTTCATATCTTCAGCCACGTTATTGTGACTCGATGTCTGCAGAACGCTTGTATATTTTTTAGCACCTTTGTTTCCTTAGTTTGGATCTATGGCCTCTTGTTCTTGAAGCTGCAAATTTAAAAAATTTCTTCTCATCTATTTTAACAATACCTATTACTATTTTGTGTGTAGTGATCATATGCCCTCTGATTCCTCCTATTTCTTAGCCCTAGCATGTTAAACAGCTCCAGCCTCGCCTCATAGTTCATGTTCTTAAGTTCCAGAAGCCATTTAGTATAATGTCTTCACATCCTTGCTAGCTTATTGATGTGTTCCTTGAGATATGGACACCACGCCAATGCTGCATATTCCAGTCTTGGCCTCGTGAATGTCACGAGCAGTTTCTTTATTATTTCTTCATCCATGTATTTCAATGCAGTTTTGACATTTGCCAGTGTAGCCTAGGCTTCTCTCGCAATGCCCTTTATGTGGTCCTCTGGTGGCAACTTAATATCCAGAAACACTTCTCGATCTCATTCCTCATTGGAGGTTTTTAATGTCTTTTCACATAATTTGTAGGTGAGGGGTGGGGGATGGAGCTAACATTAGCAATTGGACCTGGACAGTGAATGCAGACAGTTCAAATCAAGGTTGCCAATGTTGTCCAAGCAGGTGCTTGTTTTGGTGTGCTCTACCTTCCCTGGTAGTTTTCCCCTTGAGTGATATGATTGATGTAGTATCCACACTCCCCTCTATCTCTGTTGAGAGGCCTGATTCTGATCCTGTTCTCTGGTAGGCACACTATATTGATTACCCAAGTTTACTTGAGAGCTACTAACACTAGTGGCCTCGATGAGGACAGGAAGCTGGTAGCTTGTCGAAGATTCCCCATTTGCCTTGACGATCCTTTCCAACTGTACTTTAAAAGTTAACAGAGAATTGACATTTATGGCTTTGGCGGGTAGGTTCCATGGGTTAATAACCCTATGGGTGAAAAAGCATCTCCTGTTCTTAGTCCTACGTTGTGGCTTATTGAGTTTGAAACCGTTGCTCCTTGTTTGTGTTATATCTGACCTTTGGAAGGAATTTTCCGGATCAACATCCACCAAATTGTTCAGTATTTTAAAAGGTTTGATAAGATCTGCTCTGTCATGCCTGGTTTGGAGTGTTGTTAGCCCTGTGGCCCTCAACTGTTCCTGATACATAGTGTGGTACTATGGTAGGGTGGTGGTTCCTGATATGTGGTGTGGTACTGTGGTAGGTACCACACGCGGTATTAGAGCCTGGTGTGGTACCTGTGTTTGGAGGACTTCAGCTCAGGGAGATAGAGGAGACCCACCAGAAAGAGGCATTTCATTTCATTTCATTCAACAGTGAATTAATTTTCATTTTCATTCAACATCGAGTCTGGCTCTAGGCCAGGCTTGGGAAGTAGAAGAACTCCCGAAACCCTCTCCAGATATGCAACATAAGATTATTTTTCTTCCCCATTTGTGTGGAAGATATATTTTATTATTCCAGCAGGCAAAGGGTGAATGTACATTGGCTATGCTAATATTAGCCACCAAGTCACAGGGGAAAGTCTTAATTACTCGATAAGTATGGCTGTTTCTGATGGTATCTTCATGTAGAGTTGTGAAGCATATATTAATGTTACCTATTGTACTGGTTTACAGAGGCAGTCATCCCTACTTGACGGGTCTGGCTGTTGCTGGTGGCATCTTCTACTGGGGTGTTGAGGGGGCCATCCTGGGCCCGTTACTATTGTGCATTCTGAAGGTGGCCACCAATATGTACTCCACACTTATCCAGTCTCCGGGAGATATTACACGGCGCTTCTCCAGACTTCGCAGGTTAGCATTTTCTCTGCAAGTTTTGATTCTCAAAGACTGCTGAAGTTGTGTATATTTGACAAGCATTAACAATGATATATAAAATTATTTACTTATTTTAGGGAACAGTAAGGCATGTAACACATGACCTAAATGAATGAAAATGAATTGCCACATCTGTGGTAGAAAATAATAACAAAAACCTGACCTGAGAGAGAGAGACGCAGATGTCACATTAACCTGATATATATCAATGAGAAAATCCATGTTTCTGAAGTTGGGGCATAAGGTGTTGGACCACTTTGCCCTTCCACCTGAGTGCCTGTGGGCCATGCCTAAACACTTGAACTGGCTTCAGTAGGGTCCTCCAGACTTCTTGTGATTTCAATAGAAATTCGTTTGTATGACTTTTACAAGTCTGGAGTGGTCCAGTAGTAGAGTATGCGGCTGGCAATGCCTTGGTCGTAGGTTTGTGCCTCCTCACAGCCCAAGTGGATTTTCTTATTGACATGAGAGTTTGTGTTGTACAAGCAATGGTAGAGTTGACAGTATTGTACCAATATGGATAATGTCTTATGGTTTTGTGATACGTATAATTTTCTTTGATAGAATTCCATTCAGTGTCTCAAGAAATTCTCATCATATTGACTTAAAGCATTAGTATGAAAATTTTGAGCAAAGGAGTGTGGTTGGTATGCAAAGTCAAGGCAAGTTAAAAAAGTTCATTCTGGTACAAGAGAAAGATTTTAAGATATTTTTGTTGTGTTGTAATGGTGCAAAGAGTACAGTGGAGAGACACTATCCCAGCCATGATTATCTTAAGACGGCTCATTCAAGTACACTCTAAGCTTTTACAAGTGCCCTGTTAGTCACTACTTAATGTGTCTAGCAACTGTCCTCAGCCACAGCCCTCAGTCCCAACACTATATCTGAACCCCTCAGAATAGGTATATCTGTTGGTGCAGGGAAAATACAGGCCGACTACCAAGTAAGGTGTAAGAATCACGATTCAGTTGTACACTTGACTCTTACAGTGAAGCTTTAGTAAACTCCAATCACTACATAATATCAGAAATAATACAAAAGCAAATATATTCTCAATATCCCAAAAGGGAAATACAGTTATTGTAATAATTAAGCTTACAAACAAGAACATGATATTACTGTATAATATTTACTATGATACAGTATTTAGAAATATTACAAAAGGAAAATCCTCGCATACAGTTGGAGCAAAATATAAAGCTAGGGCACACTTCATGTGGGTGATATAAAATACAATTGGGAAAATAAAAGCAAACAATAAAACAGTGGTCCTCTGTTGAGCATAGTTTAAACATGAAGCAGAGGATGAGTACACCATCAGAGGTTCTTTGCCCCCTGATGCTGTGACTAGGTGCGTGCGTGAGAAAGTCGGCTGGCCGAGACCTTGCATTGTGCTTATGCTTACTGGTGGGTTTTTTTTTCTCAGTTTTGGGGTGATCTCTGTTTTCCAAGCAGAGCTTTACTCTGTAGAATTGAGCCCCAAAACCATCTCGGAAAGCAAAGATGGTTTTTGGGGCTCAGGGGGCAGCTCTCCAAGGCTTGGCTAGACTAGCACTTAGTTCTAGGAGCTGCTGAAGGGGCCATCCCAGAAATATAATTTAAACTCAAAATTAAAAAAAAGTATTGTGATTATTAGAGTTGGAAATAATTGGGTAAATAGTGGTTTGAATATTTTGTTGTAGATTTGTAGCAGGCTTCCAGATAACGTTGTAAACACTAGGTTGTTTGAGTGTGGTATATATAGCTGGATATATATAGCTGATGCCTTATGTGGGCCAGTAGTCCTTCCTACAGTCTGCTTTATTCTTATTATTGTTGACTATTACCTACACAAACGAGTAGAATTAAAAGTATCACATTTTTCCAGGAACCCTACTATTACTTGAGAGCTGACCCTGGACTCAGGTAATTTTAGAGATCTTCTGACATCGATTGAAATGTTAACTTTGCATGCAGTAGGTGTTATGCTGGATGTAGTGTAAAACTTTATACTTTTGTGTATATGTATCAAATTTGGTGTTGCCACTGCTATGCTCCTCTTTAATTCCACTGCTGCAAGCTTTACCAATAAAATGCAGTGTAGTGCTAAAATTGCATTATTCAATTAATCATTGACCAAAGGAAATATTATTGCTAATCTTGGTGTCATAAAAAGTTGTTCACATTTGTCATCAGATGTTGAGCAGCTTTGCACCAAATATCTTAAACCAAACTTTTGTCCTGGTATCATGTACACACCAACCACCACCTTCTTCGCCATCTCCACGTCAGTGGTGATTGCTTCTTGAGAATGGTAGGCAAACCAGTGATGAACTGTTCAGCAAATTTTGTACAAATTACTGTGGAGAGCTTAACAACTGGCAGTGTGGAGGTGGTGAGTGAAGTATTTGGGCAGAAGTCTGCTGGTAGCCATTCCTTGTACCTGAGAGAAAAGCAGATGTCAGTGTTGTAGATTATGTACAACACTTTTGTAAGTTGCTGTGATATTACAATCTTTTAATGCTTAGTACTGTAGAAATAGAAATAAAGAAGGATTATGTTTTTGCTACTACAAAGTGACTAATCAGTGCTTGTGCTTGTTGCTACTACAAAGTGACTAATTAGTGCTTATATGCGATTAGTTGTAGTTGTGCCTGGTTGTGTGATGGGCCTGCGCTAGATGGGTTTGTATAGTGGCCGAGTAGTTTATGCATGTGAAGAAGTAAGCTTAATTGGTGTGCAGAGGCTGATGAGCTCATCATCTTTTGTTGACCACTACTTGATATACAGTACTGTGTCCAGTGGTCCATGCCCCCCCACTTGATATACTGTGTCCAGTGACCATGGACCATCACCTGATGTACTGTGACCATGGGCCATCACTTGATGTACTGTGACCATGGGCCATCACTTGATTTACTGTGACCATGAGCCATCACTTGATGTACTGTGATCATGGGCCACCATCTGATGTACTGTGTCCATGGGCCACCATCTGATGTACTGTGTCTAGTGACCACAGACCACCACCTGATATACTGTGTCCAGTGACCATGGGCCACCACCTGATGTACTGTGTCTAGTGACCATGGGCCACCACCTGATGTACTGTGTCTATGGGCCACCATTTGATATACTGTGTCCAGTGACCAGGGACTATCACCTGATGTACTGTGACCATGGGTCATCACCTGATGTACTGTGTCCAGTGACCATGGACCACCACCTGATGCACTGTGACCATGGGCCATTACTTGATGTACTGTATCCATGGGCCACCATTTGATGTACTGTGTTCATGGGCCACCATCTGATGTACTGTGTCCATGGGCCACCATCTGATGTACTGTGTCCAGTGACCATGGGCCACCATCTGATGTACTGTGACCAGTGACCATGGTCCACCACCTGATGTGCTGTGACCAGTGACCATGGTCCACCACCTGATGTACTGTGACCAGTGACCATGGTCCACCACCTGATGTACTGTGACCAGTGACCATGGTCCACCACCTGATGTACTGTGACCAGTGACCATGGTCCACCATCTGATGTACTGTGACCATGGACCACCACCTGATGTACTGTGACCATGGGCCACCATCTGATGTACTGTGACCATGGGCCACCATCTGATGTACTGTGACCATGGGCCACCATCTGATGTACTGTGACCATGGACCACCACCAGATGTACTGTGACCAGTGACCATGGGCCACCACCTGATGTACTGTGTCCAGTGACCATGGTCCACCACCTGATGTACTGTGACCAGTGACCATGGTCCACCACTTGATGTACTGTGTCCAGTGACCATGGTCCACCACCTGATGTACTGTGACCAGTGACCATGGGCCACCACCTGATGTACTGTGTCCAGTGACCATGGTCCACCACCTGATGTACTGTGACCAGTGACCATGGTCCACCACCTGATGTACTGTGACCATGGTCCACCACCTGATGTACTGTGACCATGGGCCACCACCTGATGTACTGTGGCCATGGACCACCACCTGATGTACTGTGACCATGGGCCACCATCTGATGTACTGTGACCATGGACCACCACCTGATGTACTGTGACCATGGGCCACCATCTGATGTACTGTGTCCAATGACCACCACCTGATGTACTGTGAACATGGACCACCACCTGATGTACTGTGACCATGGACCACCACCTGATGTACTGTGACCATGGGCCACCATCTGATGTACTGTGTCCAATGACCACCACCTGATGTACTGTGACCATGGACCACCACCTGATGTACTGTGACCATGGACCACCACCTGATGTACTGTGACCATGGACCACCAACTGATGTACTGTGTCCATGGGCCACCATCTGATGTACTGTAACCATGGGCCACCATCTGATGTACTGTGACCATGGGCCACCACCTGATGTACTGTGACCATGGACCACCACCTGATGTACTGTGACCATGGACCACCACCTGATGTACTGTGACCATGGACCACCACCTGATGTACTGTGACCATGGACCACCACCTGATGTACTGTGACCATGGACCACCACCTGATGTACTGTGACCATGGACCACCACCTGATGTACTGTGACCATGGACCACCACCTGATGTACTGTGTCCATGGGCCACCATCTGATGTACTGTGACCAGTGACCATGGACCATCACCTGATGTACTGTGACCAGTGACCATGGTCCACCACCTGATGTACTGTGACCAGTGACCATGGTCCACCACCTGATGTACTGTGACCAGTGACCATGGTCCACCACCTGATGTACTGTGACCAGTGACCATGGACCACCACCTAATGTACTGTGACCAGTGACCATGGTCCATCACTTGATGTACTGTGACCAGTGACCATGGACCACCACCTAATGTACTGTGACCAGTGACCATGGTCCATCACCTGATGTACTGTGACCAGTGACCATGGACCACCACCTAATGTACTGTGACCAGTGACCATGGACCACCACCTGATGTACTGTGACCAGTGACCATGGGCCATCACCTGATGTACTGTGACCATGGACCACCACCTGATGTACTGTGACCAGTGACCATGGACCATCACCTGATGTACCGTGTCTAGTGGCCATAAACAACTGCTTGAAACACAATGTGATAGTGATGAACATTTAATACTTAATTGTACTTAGGTTTTTCCATTCTGGTACTTTTTCTTTAATCTGGTATAATTGTTTCCAAAATTGTCCTTCACTCTAGATATCTGCTGCCTCTTATAGCCTTGAAACTTCACTCTCTTAGTAGTTGCTTTTATTATATACTGGACATGTGCAGATTTATTAATGGTAATAATTATACTTTTAATGAGATTTAACCTTCGCTATCATATGGTAGTTAAAAGAAATATAAATTTAAATTATTGATAATTTGTTTCTCAGATTTTAAATAAAAACTGTAAAATGAATCCTCATTCTAACAAACCCTGCTCTAACAAATTCCTGGATGGTCCATTAACCCTTTAACTGCGCAACGTGCCTGCAGGCCCAGGCTTCGGGTGTGCAACGCGCCTCCGGGTGTTTTTATTTTTCACGTTCCATTCAAAACTCCCGCGGCTACATGGGGTTCTCATCAGCTTCCTCAGGGCTCTTGTAAACAGACGCCATCTTAAAATAAAATCATGGTCCACATTGCCGGGTGTCAGAGCCTCAGTAGTGAGTGAGCAACCAAGGCTGGCTCTCGCAGCATGAGCGCACAGCACTGCTGTTCAGCGTGTGACCACAGCATCGCCTAATATTGTCAAAATATATATATAATCTGTTTTATTTAGCTATGATAGTATTATAGAAGAGCCCGAGTGTGATAATGACTGGGAACAATGTTCAAATATCAGTGATTAATGCTGTTCACGATGTTCACAGCGCTAGCCACAGCACCACAGCATTATTTCATCCATCTAGGAATCTTCAAACTACTTTTTAGGTTCCTTTTCAAAATATACTTGTGGTCAATTATTCATTTACAGGTATTAGTCACCAGGATTGTGGTTATAATGAGCATTGTGCGTAGGAAGGAGGAATTTTGGTGAGGGAGAGAGGAAGGGAGAGAATTGAGGTAGCCTCAATGTGTGGCAGTAACTCTTGTTTTGCTCACCATACTAGCTTCATGGTTCGCTATGGGGAACACACATGTACATGGGTATATACAGTGTGTGTGTGTGAATAGTGTAATAACAGCACCAGGAGTATGTTGTGAGGAGCTATTTTGGTGAGGGGAGGTGATGTCGTAATCGTGGCGTCGTCTGCTGTCTGCTGTGTGATTTCTCATGCAGTGTATGGTGGCCACTGTACTGTTTGAACACAATACCGGCTTACTTGCATAGTTCTGGTAAATAAAACATGTAGATAGGTATATATAACATGTGTAAATAGTGTAATAAATACAATAACAGTATGGTGGGAGGAGCAATGTTGGTGAGTAATATGTTGGAGTGAGGGAGGGCCTGTCTGGGTGTGGCTGCTCACACTCGCGGTGTTCTGAATGTGTTGATGGTGAATGTATATAGTGTGTGACAGTGTATAGTGTGTACATATGTCGTAAATATACATAAATGAACATGAAACATTGGTGTGAATAACTGTATGATTTGGAGGAGCAATGTTGGCGAGTAAGATGTTGGAGGAGTGAGGGAGGGCTGGCTGAGTGTGGCTGCTCACACTCGCGGTGTTCTGAATGTGTTGATGGTGAATGTATATAGTGTGTGACAGTGTATAGTCTGTAAATAGATTGTATATATACATAAATTAGCATGATACATGGTAAATATGTGCAACATATGTGTACACAAGTGTCATGCACGTAACACAGTGTCCTCAGACAGTACGGATGTTTTACTGCCATAATATAGTGTACGTGTTCATTATACATAGGATTAGCACGTAAAAACAAATAAAAT